TTCTTGGGAGAAAGCAATGACAAACCTAGACAGCATCTTAAAAAGTAGAGACATCACCTTGCCACAAAGGTCCGTATAGTTAAAGCTATGGTTTTCCCAGTAGTGATGTATGGAAGTGAGAGCTGGACCATAAAGAAGGCTGATCGCTGAAGAATTGATGCGTTTGAATTATGGTGCTGGAGGAGACTCTTGAGAGTCCCATGGACTGCAAGAAGATCAAACCTATCCATTCTGAAGGAAATCAGCCCTGAGTGCTCACTGGAAGGACAGATTGTGAAGCTGAGGCTCCAATACTTTGGCCACTTTATGAGAAGAGAAGACTCCCTGGAAAAGGCCCTGATGTTGGGAAAGATGGAGGGCACAAGGAGAAGGGGACGACAGAGGACGAGATGGTTGGACAGTGTTTTCGAAGCTACAAACATGAGTTTGACCAAACTGCGGGAGGCAGTGGAGGACAGAAGTGCCTCACGTGCTCTGGTCCATGGGGTCACGAAGAGTCAGACACGACTAAACAACAACAACAATCAAACTTTTTTGGACTACTGTAGCTGAAGTGAGGAAATTTATCCTTTTCCAATGGAGGACCAACACATGCCAATTCCCTAACGCTACCAGCAAAGATAACCCAAGGAGAGGTCTATGAAGCAGCGCTGACCCGTCACTAGGTCACAGCAAGCAACTGAAAGCAGGCACAAATCTAAGAGTTCTCACTCATGCCACTGTGAGAGAATTATTTCAACTGAACTTACCTTACATGGACAGTTGCATCTCTACTGACACTTTTAAGTTTCTTTTCAATAATTTCAGCAAATCGGGTAGGGGTGATGTGGTTGGCTGGACCTTCCATGAGGGATCTGGCCAAGTTCTGTCCCTTGGCATAGATAAGGCCTTTCCGCCAGGCCTCAGCTCCATCGCTAAACAGGAATACAGGAGGATAATCAATAAAATATCATCACAGAACTGAAATGCCATAAATCAGTGACTCTCCTTCTACCGGCAAACATTGCAGAACTGTAGAATTTTAAGCTGGTTGACCAGATGAACAGGGACAATCAAACCGCAAACATCAACATCAAAACCTTACTCTTGATATTTGAAAGGTTTGGGAAAGATAGAAAAAATTTGTCTGGTGCCAAAGAGAAATGAGGGCCGGTGCCAGGAGAACTTCACTAGGTAGAGACGACCACCCACCCAGTCATTATCTTCATCAGATGGCAGAGGCACCTAGAGAATAGTCTTCAAAGATGACCAGAGTTGAAGTGGGAACAGGTATTTCTTCCAGTTACCCAGACACCAAGCTACGGTATGTAGGCCATTAAAACTAAGCACCATATTCAAATGTAGCAAATGCCTGACCTAAATCAGTAAGCCACGCTTCCCGAGTCTAAATCTAACATTTATTTAGTACGAGTTGTATGTCAGGCACTACCCCAATATAGACAATGCTGGCATTTGAAGAGGACTTAGTTCATTTTCATTTGGAAGGTTTGATTCTCACTTCTCGTACAGATCTCATTAAAGAGTACCTTACTTTATCTATGCCTTAAAATGTAAAGGACCCCTGACAGTTAAGTCCAGTCGCGGACGACTCTGGGATTGCGATGCTCATCTCGCTTTACTGGCCGAGGGAGCCGGCGTTTGTCCGCAGAAAGCTTCTGGGTCATGTGGCCAGCATGACAAAGCTGCTTCTGGCGAACCAGAGCAGGGCACGGAAACGCTGTTTACCTTCCCGCCGGAGCGGTACCTATGTATCTACTTGCACTTTGACGTGCTTTCAAACTGCTAGGTTGGCAGGAGCAGGGACCGAACAACGGGAGCTCACCCTGTTGCGGGGATTCGAACCGCCGACCTTCTGATCGATCAACAAGTCCTAGGCTCTGTGGTTTAACCCACAGGGCCACCCGCGTCCCTTACCTTTCTATAAAAAGGAAGTCTTTGCAAATAAGACCCTGGCATTTTCTTTTTGAACTCAAAAAAGGGGGTTCAGATTACACCCTCCATGCAATGAAAGAATGTGTCAACCAGCAACACACACAGTGCCCCCTGCTTTAAGCTGGCATGTGAGGAGGGCCCATAAGTATGCCAATATATGGCACATACAACTCCTTTATGTAGAAGCCAGCCTGACTGGGCACAGTTGCCCCTTTGTCGACACACACGAACACATACTGGGGGAGGGGGGCATGGCCGTTGTGGACATCACCAACAGCAAGATGGGGCTAATCCATGTCTCTCCCCTCCCAAGCCCTCTTTACATATTCTTTCAGCATGTGATGACCCCTTTTTAAGGGAAAGAAGAGCAAGTACGTTGACCCCCGGGCACTATACAAATGTTATTCTCAGCAATGCACCTTCCGTAGAGCTGAACGTCCACCACAGCTTCTTTTTTTGCTTCAGTTCATCGTATTCGTAGAGTCCTAGGGCAGCTCCTTCCGCCGCAGCCTGAGCGTCGCCACAAGGGTCAACTTCCACACAAGAACTTCCAAGTCTGAACCTGCCTGCACCCAGCTGAAAAATATTCCCCCCCCCAAAAAAAGATCTTTACTGAACTTAACATATATACATAATAACCAAAATTCCCAATGATTCCCTCACATTAAATATAATATCTAAATTACAACAGTTGCGTAATTATATACTTAATTATAATCCATCACCCACCCTCTACTTCCTCCACAGCAATTCGACTTCTGTATACAGTTGGTAAGGTAAAGGTAAAGGTACCCCTGCCCGTACGGGCCAGTTCGTGCCAGACTCTAGGGTTGTGCGCCCATCGTCACTCTATAGGCCGTGGGCCAGCGCTGTCCGGGACACTTCCGGGGTCACGTGGCCAGCGTGACATCGCTGCTCTGGCGAGCCAGACCGCACACGGAAACGCCGTTTACCTTCCCGCTTGTAAGCGGGTCCCTATTTATCTACTTGCACCCGGGAGTGCTGTTCGACTGCTAGGTTGGCAGGCGCTGGGATCCGAACGACGAGAGCGCACCCCGCCGCGGGGAATTCGAACCGCCGACCTTTCCGATCGGGCAAGCCTAAGGCGATGAGGCTTTTACCCCACAGCGCCACCCGCGTCGCCGTATAGCAGTGGTACCTCGGGTTAAGTACTTAATTCGTTCCGGAGGTCCATTACTTAACCTGAAACTGTTCTTAACCTGAAGCACCACTCTAGCTAATGGGGCCTCCTGCTGCTGCCGCGCCACCGGAGCCCGATTTCTGTTCTTATCCTGAAGCAAAGTTCTTAACCTGAAGCACTATTTCTGGCTTAGTGGGGTGTGTAACCTGAAGTGTATGCAACCTGAAGCGTATGTAACCCGAGGTAGCCACTGTATTTCTTTCTACTTTTTCCCCTTCCATTCTATAATAAATTATTTCTGTTAAATTCTGATTTTTCTTTCTTTCTTTGTTTTGTTCTTGCTTACATTTTTATTCTAAGCCTGAAAAAAAATATACATGTTTGCAACATTAAGGACTGGAGGGGGGTGGGGGGAAAGAGAAAGGAAGGGAACGGGCAGATTTTTAAAATTTAATCAGGCTCCATCTATCCGGTATTACAAATCAACTCGGTAAAGTTCATGTCACCAGTTAAGACAACTCAAAGGAGAAGCTGGTTTATTAATATATGGCCCATTAGTGCACTTGGGATACATTTATCAAGCAACTTCTACCTGCAGGTAATTCAGCAAGAGTGAGAGAGTGCCTCACCCACAATTGGCCTGTGGCACAGTGATGACTGAGCAATTACAACAGGCCAAAGTCTGCAGCCATCATTTTGAGCTTATGCCATTATTAGTACCTTGGGTGCTAGT